TTTGCGGAGCAGCCAACCATCGAGACTAGCACCAGCTTCTATCACGCATTGAGTATCTCTATTAATATACAATACCGCAGTGTCAGCCCCACCGATCCAACGGCACCTAGATAACGGCGTCTGACCTTATACGCCATCGAAGATGGTGCAACCTAGAAACACCAATCGAAGTGGTGCCACTCCCCCTAAAATTGCCAATATAAATGACATCATATCTCTGGGGGCAGAAGTGCAAATAAGTGTTTGGAGGGGCCAGTAGGGTAGTTAAGTCTAAACGAAGGCCATAGGAAGAAAAAATACCGAAATGGAGGCAAATGATGCCATATCTATAAAAGGCTCCTTTGGTACTACACACTACTCGGTTACTAAGGACAAAGACATTTATGAATTACTTTAGATAATTATGCAGAATCCTATTATGTGCACATAGCACAAACTGTCAACTCCTGACAGATCGGGGTACAAAGGACATGTTTGTACCTGTGGCTGTTGAATGTTTGTGCTGAATTAGCAATGTTTAATTTTGTTGTAAGGTGCTCTACACTGTATGGTGTTTCATGTAAGATGCAACGGAACAAGGGGCTTGTGCGGTTGTGCCCTGTACATGAAGGGGAAACCTGCTTGCTACTTGAGCTCAAGTAACGCCTTCTTATGTGTTAATGCAAATTAACGACACATATATACCAAAGTGACACATCAGGCGGGGGGGAGGCAGAGGTGAGAATTCTAGCCCATGACCAGTGCACAGTTTGCGGAGCAGCCAACTATCTAGGGCTCTAGGCTAGCACCAGCTTCTATCACACATTGAGCATATATATATTAGTATAAGATACCGCAGCGCCGACCCCAACTGATCCGACGGCACATAGATAACGGCATCCAACCTTATACGCCATCAAAAATGGCGCAACCTACAAACACCAATTGACGTGGCGCCACTCCCTCGTAAAAATGCCAATATAAATGTTGCCATATCTCTGGGGGGCAGAAGTGCAAGTAAGTGTTTGGAGGGGCCAGTAGGGTAATCAAGTCCAAAGAAGGTCATTTAGGGGAAATAATACTGAAATGGGGGCAAAATATGTAATATCTATAAAAAGCTCCTTTGGTACTACATACACACTACTCAGTTACTAAGGACAACAACATTTATTAAGTACTCCCTCCGTCCCATAATGTAAGATGTCATCTTACATTATGGGACAGAGGGAGTACTTTAGATAATTATGAAGAATCCTATTCCGTGCACACAGCACAAACTGTCAACCCCCGACAGATCGGGGTACATAGGACATGCACGGTACTACACATAGTTAACAAACATTCACCAAGGACATCCCATCTCTGCTACTTATGTTCTTGCCAATGCCGTGTACAAGCTACGTCATTTGTGGCTTAGGATGGGCGGCATTGGTGATTGGTGGACATCCAGATTCACGGACAGTAGGTATACAAAAAAGGCATTGTAGATGCCCTGGAAACAAGGTAGTACTATTACAGGTGCAGGCGTGTTGCCTAACAGTGGCACGGACCTTGACTTTACTCTATCACCGATTAGAAGAGGCCTTGAATTAGAAAGAGATCGGGTGACTCTGCCTTTCACTCTTCAATCAGGAACATTCAGGAAAAAAATACGTGAGATAAAGGGACATTCGTTTCCTTATTTGGTGTCACACACTCGAACAGCCCTGCCTATGGCAACTACCAAGGTTTGTCGATCCTACAAGTAGAACCGGGCCCTGCAAGATCCAGATCGCGCTTTTTAAACTGCCGAGTTGCTGTGCGAAATATCATCAGGCAGAGCGAGGTTGTGGATTCAGCGTGTACGTACGTGATAAAGCCATGGATCGATGCATCGACTGGAGAAGACGGGTGGACGGGGGAGGAGGGGATGCGGAGAGGCGGAGTCGGGAGTACCTGGAGTGACTGGAGCTCCTGGTCGAGGCGCTGGATGGCGGCGGAGAGGCGGTGCTTCCCCACGTACCCCACGCTCCTCGTCGTCGTCGTGGCCGCCCCCGCCGCAGCCGGCTGCTGCTGCTGCTGCCCGGAAGACGGCCTCGCCGCCCTCTCCTCCTCCTGCTGCTGCGGCGGCTCCTCCTCCTCCTCCCCCTCCTCGTCCCGCGGCCGCCGGTCCCCTCCGTTGGCCTCCCCCCTCATCCCGGCGCGCCCTCGCTTCCCTTTCCCACCCTACAGATCTGCCTCCGCCTCCGCCTTTGCCAGCCCCGCGGCCCACCTACCCACCTCCGCGTGCGCGCTTGTGCCGAGTAAAAGGAAACAAGAGGAGCGGTGGAGGCGTCGATCAGAGGAGGCGAACACGTAGGGACGCCATGGGCTTCGGGAGATGGTACTTCTCCCTCACCTTGGGCGGTCGTCGTCGGGTACGGGGGAAGCGGGAGGCGACAAAGCGGGAGGAGAACGGCGGGGGGATAAGAGAGAATAGGGGGGAAGACGACGACGGCGTAAAAACGAAGAGAGGAGGCAGTCTATCTGAGTGGTCAACACAAGGCGCCGGTCAATGGATGGGACTTACGGACTGGCTTACTGCCAGTGAAACAGAGCGCCGGACCCACTTCGCAGATAAAGACACAGGTAGAAATGGCAGAAGCAGGGTCAGGGTGGCCCGTATTGTCAGTGCAATGGATCTTACTATTATTTTGGCAAAAACCCATAAAATCAACCTTTTATGGATGGTAGCGCATCTCCAGAGCTATATCTGCAATTGCCGGCAAACGTCCGGACCGATCTGTTCGAACATTCTTTTTTGCTATCCAACGTCGTCGGCTCGCAAACATGCGCGAACGCCCGTTGGAATTCTCGCAAGCCGACATCAAATTGGAGGAGGTTTGCGGAGGTCCGGACCTCCGTCATGCACGCATTCGACTGCTCGGTCTCACCCAAAATCCTTGATGTGTGTCCCATTTTTGAACGGTCGCCGCACATTTATGTCGGTGTGCCGCTCCATAGTGGATGTGACTTGACGGCATTGATGCGACGTTGTGCAATGCGAACACGACGATCGAGAAGACTGCTCCGGTCCTTGTGCCGCATTAAAGCGGCGTCGGTGCGCTTGCACCGGCTGTTTAAGCAGGTAGGTGATGGCGGCCAAACCCATCTCCTCTCGGCACACCGCCACCTCGCATCTCCTCTTCTCTCCGCTCAACATCGCGTCGGCGATCCTTTCCTCTCCAAGGTCGCGTGATGGGCAAGTCCGACGCCAGCGGCTGGTTCTCGGCGCCGGTCGAGGGGTCTGGATCTTCCTTCGGATCGTGGCGCCACCGCACACGGTCTCCTGGAGCTTTGTCTTCCATCGCTCCATCGAAAAAGAAGGAGGTCGTGCTCTCCTTCGACGAGAATGAGCACCAGCAGCCCCCTCTCCTCGCTGAGGCCGTCATGACCGAAGGGGAGTTCCACGCGTAGCTCGAGGTCTTGCTTGAGCGGTTGCTCTGTGACAGAGGTCCTGCTGAGTAAATTGGTATTTTTTATTAATTTAATCCAAGAATAAATCACTAGCATGGCATTGACAAAAATAAACAAATGCTGATATTTGATCATGCAAGCACATATTACGCCAATAGCAGACACATATATGTATAACACTAGCATGGCTAAGATAGAAATCAATAGGAGCGGGATAAACGAATTATACCCTCCAGTAGGCCGGTTGGCCGTAGCAGCAGTAGTGGCGGCGGCCTCCTCGACCGCCTTCTGGTCAACAGTAGCCTTCTCTGCATCGGCTTTGTCGGCGTCGGTGGACATGATGATGATGATGATGATGAAGGCGACGTGAACGAAGTAGACAAACGGCGGCGAGCAGTCGCATAGTCGCTTCCCAAAAACCTAATCACCCCTCTCCCATATAGGATCCAGAGAGGCGGGAGTTCGGAGGCCTACTCTCCCGTCGACCGTGTGCGCGGTGAACGGGATGGAGTCGCTGGCGGTAGCAGCAAAGGGAACGACAGGGGCAGTGGGCATGAAGCAGGTGTGATCTGTTTATGGCGGTGCATAGGTATGAGCTCGTCTCGGCTCAATCCCGCAACCCACGGCGCGTCGTGACTAGGCGGGTGGCGGAGGAGGAGCGTGTGGGAACCACTTCTCTTCTCAAGCTCCAATAGCATGTGGAAGAGAATCCCTCGTAAGGAGGTCCAACTCCTCCACTAGTGGGGTGGGACTAAACTTCTCACTGCCCGGTGTCATGACACCTGCATGGGCCCTTAGGGATTTTTCTGAAATTCTTAGATGGGCCTAAAGCCCACCCCATATTTCAACAATCCCCCACCAGATCTCAAGGGCCATTGTGTCCTCTGTTCAAGTCGTTGTTTCGATATACCAGTGTTTCATTGAAGACCTGTTAAGGTTGAACTTCACCTAGAGCAAGTAGCTACACTCCTTCGCAACTGAACAATGGACTATGCCTTGAATTGTCAGTTTAGCGTAAAGAAATTTCACCTCATGTCTTACTAGTACTAGGCTGCTGAAGGCTGACCCCTCGGGTGCAGCATATTAGTCACACTCCTCGCCTATTCATGAGTTTACTAGAAATCACCCCAATCTCATAGACTATGACCAACAGTTGGGCTCATATAGGTGTGTTCCTCCAAAGATCGCTCTGTAGGATAGCATCTTGCTTACATAAGCTTTGGAACACATTAAGACGGTAGTCATCTTAACATACAATATCGAGAGTATTGCATCTCCAACGGAGTGGATTAGTAAAGTTACACTCCTCATTTCACCACTGGCTTGTTTTCCCAGGTCCCACTTCACGGGATCTCAGATCACATAGGTTGGGCTACCACCATGGCAACTCATGTGGGTCTCATACCCATCTCCCTCGATGCATTATTTATCACAACACGCGATAGCCCTTCAGTAAAGGGATCTGCCAGATTCTTAGCTATTTGGACATAATCCAACGCTATCACTCCAGAGTTTCCTAATTTTCTGAAAACTTTTAATCTCACTCTTATGTGTTTGTTGGACTTCATGTTGTCCTTTGAACTCTTCACCTTTGCAATAACGGTCCGATTGTCAGAGTTCATAAGGATGGTCAGAACCGGCTTCTCAACCAATGGCAAGTCCATCAAAAAATCTCGAAGCCATTCTACTTTGACACCAAACGTGTCTAATGTTGTTAATTCTGCTTCCATTGTCGATCTCGTTAAGATCGTTTGCTTGCAAGACTTCCAGGAAACACCACCTCCAAAAGTAAACATATACCCTATTGTGGCCTTCCTCTCATCAGCATCAGAGATCCAATTCGCATCAGTATACCCTTCAAGTACCGATGGGTATCCAGTATAGTGAAGTCCATAGGTCATAGTACCTTTCAGATAGCGCATAACTCTTTCAATAGCATGCCAACGTACATCACCTGTTTTGGAGACAAACTGACTCGGTTTGCTCACAGCAAACGCGATGTCAGGCCTCGTTGTGCTCGCTAGATACACGAGTGAACCAATAATTTGAGAGTATCTCAGTTGATAGTTGTGCCTTCAAACTTTTGAATCAACACACTAGGATCATATGGTGTTTGAGATGGTTTGAAGCCTGAATGTCCAAAACGACTCAACACCTTCTCAACATAATGGGATTGCAGAAGAGTAATCTCACCCTTATCATCTCTCATGGCTTGATGTTCAAGATAACATCAGCCACACCAAGGTCCTTCATCTCAAAGTTCTGAAATAAAAATGACTTAATCTCCTCAATCACTTTGAGGTTGGTTCCAAATATCAGTATGTCATCAACATACAAGCACAATATAACTCCTTCGCTTCCACCATGGCGATAATATACACATTTATCAGCTTCATTAACAACAAAGCCAACAGATGTCAGAGTTATATTAAACTTCTTGTGCCATTGCTTAGTGCTTGTCTCAAGCCATATAAAGATTTCAGCAACCTACACACCTTTCCTTCCTGACCATCTATCACAAAGCCATCTGGCTGTTGCATGTAGATTTCCTCGTCCAACTCCGTTCATGAAAGTTGTCTTAACATCCATCTGGTAGACAAGAAGACCATGTGCGACCACCAAAGAGAGTAACACTCGAATGGTGGTCAGTCTGGCCATAGGTGAATAAGTATCGAAGAAATCTTCCTCTTCTTTCTGGGCATAGTCCTTGGCCACAAACCTAGCCTTGTACTTTTCAATCATACCATCGGACCTAAGCTTCTTTTTGAACACCCATTTACATCCCAATGGTTTGCAACCATAGAGATGTTTGGTAATCTCCCATGTCCCATTAGCCATGATGGAATCCATCTCGCTACGGACCGCATCCTTCCAGTGTCAGCTTGTGGAGAGGCATACGCTTTTGAAATAGAAGTAGTAGTATCATCCACGAGGTACACGAGGAAATCATCACCAAAGGTCTTAGAAGTCCTTTGTCTCTTTCCCCTACCAAGGGTTTTCCTTGTCATCCTCCTCAAGATTTTCATCATGTGTTTGTTCATAATATTCCATAGGAATGACAGGCCCAGGAGTCTCCTCAGATTCCTGTCTAGAAGTGTTTTCCATGTCTCTCATAGGAAAAATATCCTCGAAGAATGTAGCTCCTTAGACTCCATAATTGTACCGACCTTCTAGTCAGGTACCTCAGATTTCACTACTAGAAATCTATAACCAACGCTATTCTTAGCATAGCCCAAATTAACACAGTCCATGGTCTTTGGTCCAAGCTTGTGCTTTTGGGGGATCGACATAATGACTTTCACCAAATAGCCCCAAGTACGCAAGTACGTGAGTGTTGTTCTTCTCTTCTCCCATTTATTATAGGGAGTGATCTCATTATCCTTTATCGGAACTTTATTCAGGACATGACATGATGTCAATATAGCCTCCCCCCAATGTGCCTTGGATAAACCCAATGTATCTAACATGGCGTTAACCAAATCAGTTAGAGTATGGTTTTTTCGCTCGGCAACCCCGTTTGACTGGGGTGAATAGGGAGGCATCCTCTCATGAATAATACCGTGTTCTGCACAAAAAGAATCAAACTCACTTGAGAAGTAATCTCCACCACGATCTGATCGGACTCGTTTAATTTTATTTTCAAGTTGATTCTCAACTTCTACCTTGCAGAATTTAAAGTAGTGTAGAGCCTCATGTTTAGTATTTAACCAATAAACATAGCAATATCAAGTGGAATCATC